AGGCCGTGTCTGTAGACGATGTGTGTGTGGACGGGGCGTCAGGAGTAGTTCCAGGACAAAAGCAAAGAGAGAAATATCGGACGTGTTTTCTGTGTTTCTGACCTAGAAGTCTGTTGTGAAGCACCCGGAGGAAAACCTACGCAGACACGGGGAGAACATGCAAACTCCACACAGAAAGACCTGGAGGTGCAGCAACAATCTGCGTGTTCTGTTTTCAACAGTTAATAGATTAACAAACCCCCCTGTTCAGATGCCATTAGAGCTAACTTCCAAACGTAAATGCAATGAGTTTGCACATTTTTTCAATGACAAGGTTCAAGGCATCAAAAACGCCATTGTCTCCAATCCACAGATAACAATCCAACAGCCAGAAAGGCTCTCTGAGCTAACTCACTTTGCACCTGTAGATGATAAAACTGTCCAAGAGATAATCTCCAGTTTGAGCTCCTCCACATGCAGCCTGGATGTACTACCCACTAGATTTCTGAAGTCTGTTCTGAGCAGTCTGTTACCTTCACACACACACATAGTACATAGTAAACATGTCCCTTAATTCTGGAATATTCCCAAAAGCCCTGAAAACTGCAGTCATCAGGCCCCTGCTAAAAAAGAGCAGTCTGGATGCTACGGTACTTAACAACTATCGTCCCATCTCAAATCTGCCATTTATGGGGAAAGTCCTTGAAAAAGTTGTCTACCAACAGCTAAATAGATTTCTTATAATCAACAACTCATTTTATATGTTTCAGTCCGGCTTTAGACCCCACCACAGCACTGAGACTGCTCTCGTCAAGGTTACAAATGATATCCGGCTAAACACTGACGCAGGCAAAGTCTCAATCCTAATCCTGTTAGATCTGAGTGCTGCCTTTGACACTGTCGACCATGAGATCCTCTTACAGAGACTAGAGGACTGGGTTGGCGTCGCTGGCACCGCCCTAAGTTGGTTTAGGTCTTACCTTGAAGACAGGAAGTACTTTGTGGAGATTGGAAACTGTGTCTCAGATCATATGGCCCTGACCTGTGGAGTACCACAGGGGTCGATCCTGGGACCTCTTCTGTTCAATCTCTACATGCTGCCGTTAGGTCAGTTAATACGCAGAAACAAAGTGTCCTATCACAACTATGCAGACGACACTCAGATCTATGTCTCACTGACTGCAGGAGAACATGGACCAGTGGACTCACTCCTTCACTGCATCCAACAGATCAGTGAGTGGATGCAAAACAACTTCCTTCAGCTAAACGCAGACAAAACCGAAATGATTGTCTTTGGTCCCCAGAAACAAAGAGAGAGCGTCATCTGTCACCTCCAGTCTCTCTCCCTAAAACCTTCAAACAAGGTCAGAAATCTAGGGGTAATACTGGACTCAGACTTAAATTTTAATAGCCACATCAAATCAGTAACATCAGCAGCTTTTTACCATCTAAAAAACATTGCCAGGATCAAAAACATAGTGTCTAAAGCAGACCTGGAGATTCTTATCCATGCATTTGTCTCCAGTAGGTTAGACTACTGCAATGGCCTGCTCACAGGTCTGTCCAAACAGGCTGTAAAACAGCTGCAGTACATTCAAAATGCAGCAGCTCGAGTCCTGACTAGAACCAGGAAGTACGACCATATTAGTCCAGTCCTCAGGTCTCTGCACTGGCTTCCTGTGGCTCAGAGAATAGACTTTAAAACAGTTCTGCTTGTGTACAAGTCTCTCCATGGCTTCGCACCAAAATATATTAGTGACATGTTAGTCCCATATGAACCAGCCCGGACTCTGAGGAGCACAGGGACTGGACTCCTGTTAGTGCCCAGAGTCAGAACTAAACATGGGGAGGCTGCTTCTCAGATTCATGCTGCTAAAATCTGGAACAATCTTCCTGAAGATGTGAGACAGGCCTCCTCTCTGACAATGTTTAAAGCCAAGTTAAAAACGGTGCTGTTTAGCTGTGCATACAACTGAGGGATTTTATATTTTTATCTTTCGTTTTAATGTTCTGTGATTATTTATGATTTTAATGCTATCTTGTTCAGCACTTTGAGTTGCCTTGTGTATGAATTGTGCTATACAAATAAACTTGCCTTGCCTTGCCTTGAGGTGGAATCGAAGCCCAGGACCAAGAACAATAGCAACACAGTTCAACGTATTTGTGTCTCGGCCTAAATCACAACAGAACAAAGTTGTTGATTCGCAAACAACAGATCAGAAAATCTTAAAGTTTAAATTCATAGATACAGAATAAAAATGATAAAATAAGACACAACATAAAGAGAAATACATTGTTTGAATAAGAGAGAAGAAACAAGTCTAAAATCTCTAACTTTAACAAAATAAAGAATTCTAAAATCTCTAAAATGCAGAATAAACACAACATCCTAGTCGTCTCATACTCCGATTATCTTGATGTTCATCTTAATAACAAACTAAACCACTTCCTCAAACAAAAAACTCCAAAGTCAATCTCCAAACGGCTCAAAGACGACGTCCCACTTGTTTCTGTGACTTTACATCTGTACCACACGATTCTCTGGTCCCAGGCCTCCAGGACTTCTCCGCCGCCGCAAAAAAGGTCAACGATATTTCCCTCGAAAGCAGCCATTTTCCATTTACACTTCCCGTCGCCGCGTCGTGAATCGCCACGGCAACAACAAAGGCCTGCGTGCAAAGGCGTGCGTGTGTGTGCGTGTGTGTAGCAGTGATTTTCCTCTCGCTTGATTGGCTGAGAGAGGCACTATTCACTCTGCGTTGTGAGAGAGAGAGAGAGAGAGAGAGAGAGAGAGAGAGAGAGAGAGAGAGAGAGAGAGAGAGAGAGAGAGAGAGAGAGAGAGAGACTAGTGAGAAAGACACTCTCTGGTCTCTCTTTGCTCTCTCTCTCTGGCCTCTCTCTCTGCTCTCTCACCTTTGTCTCTCTCTCTGATCTTTACCTGTTCTCTGTCTCTCCTGTCTCTCTCAGTCTTGAAGCACACTTTCTCTCGGTGCGTTCTCGTTCGTGGACAGAACACTCTCTCCTCGCTGCTGTTGTCGTTACAAACTAAAGCTCATTACTTACACCAAGGTCATAGGGAGTGCGGCCATCTTTAATTCGCCGACGTGAAAGCACCCTGGATCCCTCACCCTCTCTCCAGGCGGATCCTTCTAGACCCCCTCCTCCAGCTAAGTCCCCTATCCTTGCTCCAACACACACACACACACCCACCCACACACACACACACACACACACACACACACACACACACACACACACACACACACACACACACACACACACACACACCCACACCGCGGTAATGAGATTGGTGGCCCGATGTCCGACACGCGCTCTCATTTCTGAACCGTAAGAGCCCTAATCCACAATCTGTGTTTGAAATGCAGGGCCAGGGTCAAGGATTACAATAAACTCCATCATCAAATAATGCAGCCATTTTTATTCCGCTGGAGCGCCGCCGATCTGCCACTGGAATACTCAACGAGGAGCGAAAACAGAGGAGGAGAGAGGGCCGCATCTGCAAATGTACAAACAGAGGAAGTGGAAGTCTGGGCTGGGACCACAGAGAGGCGTGGACATGCAGGGACAGAAAGCACAGGATTATGGAGGTTTTTAACTGCGCTGTGATTGGGCTGCAAAGGGGAGGGCAAAGTGTGGGCAATTACAAGAGAGTTTCCAGATAAGATGCCTGGTAAATTAAGATGTAATGATAAATATGAGGTGTTTCCCACATTTTAGGAAAGAACCGCCCCCTCCACATTTTGAACAAAACTCTCTGTTGTTTTTTTTTTTCAATTTTTTTTTTATTGTGAAATACTATGCAAGCTACTCTGACAACGCAATGCCCCTTGTGGATCAATAAAGTCTGTCTAAGTCTAAGTCGTATTTGATAAGCACGTATCTCCAGAATGATTGACAATTGAGAGCACCAATAGTCTTCATGATACACCTGGACGTAGAAAATCCTCCTTTAATGAACCTATAATGTTTTAAATCACTTAAAACCCACTTTTATCGAACATCATGTTGTATTTTACAGTTCCAATGCCTTTGTGTTGTCTCTGTGAGAGACCCAAAGTGTTTTACAATAATCAGAGTTCAGATATTTGAAAAAATATAATTTTATTCAAACACTATGTTTTTATCCAACTAATCAATTGATCGGAGGAATTTGCCAAATTTTCAAACTTTTATATTCAGAAGAACAAACCTGAAGGCATCTTTCCTCATGTTTTTATTGATTTTTGTTCCAATAAATAAATATATAATATACTGTATATATAATATATCTCTTGTTGTTGGCTCTAAAACAGTTCTATCACGTATCTCTGCGTCTGTCACATCTTTACGTCAGATTTTTCAGACAGAAAAGTGAAAAAGAGAGGACCGCCTTCCCTCTGCTAATCAGCTCTCAGCCAATCAGCTCTCAGCACAAAGAGTCCGATAGTGACTCACATGGATCTTTCTTACATCTGCTAAATACATTTGACTAAGACTATCAAGACTTTCACTGTTGAGGGAAACATAATGTATTACTGTCTTCAATTCATTTTTGTATCGACCTAAATCACAACAGAAGACGTCTCGAAGGACTTTACAAAGTTGTTGATTCGCCGACAACAGATCAGAGAATCACACAATTCAAACACAGAACATTCAAAGATTAAGAAACACATAGGGACTGTTGACCAATGTCCATGAATGGAAATAGGTGCATGAGAAATGTTGCTGAATTTTGAATGTCCTGGATCCTTTAGGAGACAAAAGTCAGGTATCTCAGCTTTAATATAAACAGAAATAAGCAAAAGCGGCATTTGGTCCGGTGGTTGAAATGCAAAAAAGCAGAGTCTTAAATGGGCTAAAATGTTCACAGAATCATAAAATATTGACCAAATTGCATTAGTTTCTCTCAGTATCTCTCTCTCTTTTTTCTCTCATCTTCCTCCTCTTCCTCCTCCTCCTCTTCTTCTGCAGAGAGCAGTGAGTGTGCGGTGGCCTCTCCCCTCTGGGCATTAGCATTCATGGAGCTAGCGGGCCATGTCAGCGGCTATAACGACCCCAGAGACGGGCCCCTGCGCTGGGGGAGAGCGGTGCCGCCTGGGGGGAGAGTGCAGACCGCGGGAGGTGTGTCTTCATTAACAGCCACAATCACCCCGAGATTATGCTCAACAAATTAATCCACTTAATCAACAAATTTGGGCTTTTTTTTCAACTCATTCTTGCGCAGGGAGTGAGGGCGAGCGAGCGGAACGGCCACCTCCTCCTGCTGCAGAGAACAAAGAAGACGAGGAGGAAAGAGGAAGTGATTGTGATGTTGGGAAAGTTGTGGTGACGACAGAAGAAGAGACGGACACAGAGCAGGTGTGAAGTACTCAACAGTTACTTTACTTTGGACAAAACTGGAGGGTTTGAAGAAGTGTTTTGAAATTGAAAGTGAGATAAACATGTGATGACGAGGGTGTAGTAGAAGTAGTAGTGGTAATAGTAGTAATAATGGTAGTAGTAGTAGTAGTAGTAGTAGTAGCGGTAGTGGTAGAACTAGTTGTAGTTGTATAAGAAGTAGTCTCATAATACTAACGCCCTGTACAAGAAGAGCCAAAGTCGCCTCTTCCTTCTGAGGAGGCTGAGGTCCTTCGGAGTGAGCAGGCCTCTGCTCAGGACTTTTTATGACTCTGTGGTAGCTTCTGCCATTTACTACGCTGCCGTGTGTTGGGCCCCGGGCAGCACAGAGCGGGACAGAAACAGACTGAACAAGCTGGTCAGGAGGGCCAGCTCCACTCTGGGCTGCTCCCTGGACTCTGTGGAGGAGGTGAGGGACAGGAGGGTGCTAGCCAAAGCCACCTCCATCATGGACAATACCTCCCACCCACTGCACAGGACTGTAGAGGAGCTGAGGAGCTCCTTCAGTGGAAGACTGAGGCACCCTCAGTGTAGGAAGGAGCGCTACCGCAGGGCCTTTATCCCCACCGCTGTCAGACTGTACAACAAGTCACTTTAAGTCACTGTATTAAGACTGAAAAACCTGCACTAATACTGACACTATTTCTGATTGCCACTTTTAAATTGCCACTTTTTATTGTAAATAATATATCCTGCATTTAACATGTTGCACATTTCCTCTCTTTTTGCACAATGAGTGTTTCTATCCATGCCAAATGTGACATGTCAATTTCTCCTGTTTGAGATAAATAAAGTATATCTTATCTTATCATAGAAGAAGCAGCAGTAGTAGTAGTAGTAGTAGTAGTAGTAGTAGCAGTAGTAGTAGTAGTAGTAGTAGTAGTAGTAGCGGTGACACTCTCTCTGATTGGCCGAAATATCTGGCAACAAGTTCTAATGCTATCATCGTTCTCGAATCGCGAAGCATCGAAATGTTGTGATGAAGATTTATTCTGTGTTAATGTCCCTGTGCTCACATCATGTCCCTGTGCTCGCATCATTCACACGGCACATTTCTCCCTTTGTTGGACTCTCAGCTCTTTACGTCAATAAAACATTCACCCACACCACCCTCCATACAGCAGAGAGAGGACCCAGGACTGAGGCTGTAGTAACTGTCTCTCAGCTGGAGACGGCAACGGATGAAGTGGAAATTTTGGCCAAGAGAAAATTTAACTTTTCTGGCTTAAAAATCCAAACTACACGTAGGAGAAAACTATAGAGATATAAGAGAACTGTCTCAGAGCCCTGGAACCAGTCAGGTAGATTGTTCTCCGTAGATTTTATAGTGGCTTTGACAGTTACATACCCCAGCTTTAATCCTCTATCTCCGACATTACAACTGAAGCAGCCACATGCCCATTCTCTCACAGCCTCAGCACGGCCTGCAGTCTACACTCTCTCTGCTTCTTATAGCAGCGTTCACTTTATATTCATGTGAACCCCGGCTGCGTGTGCGTATACAATCCTATTTGGAGCGACTCAGACCAAACATTTATTCTGCGCACAGCCTCTCCCCCCTCTGCCTCCCCCCCCCCCCCCCTCCTCCCTCACCAGCCAACAACCCCCCCCCCCCCTCGGCAAAGGTCAGCAGCTCCTTTGATGCCGGCCCCATAGATCAACATTATTACTGTAGTCTATTGATTCCTATGGAGATGCGGAGCGGAGGTCAGGCCTGGGTCTGGCGGTGGCGCGTGAATATCAAACCCGGGGCTAACCGCCGGGACGCGCCGCGGTGAAGGACGCGCTGGCGCGGGGCACGGGCGGCGCGTGGCGGAGAATGGATTTCACCTGCAGCACAAAGAGGAGAAGAGGAGAGAGCACTGGAGCTGAGGCATGGGGGGAGACTCTAGGCCTGATGGAGCAGAGAGAGAGAGAGAGAGAGAGAGCTTTGAAGAAGAAATACTATTATCGTTTTTGGCTTTAAAAAAATATTTGATGTACTTTTTATGTTGTTCTGTTTGAGAGGGAGAGCGAGACAGACAGACAGACAGACCAGAGAGAGAGGGAGAAAGAGAGAGGGAAAGAGAGAGTGAGAAAGAGAGAGGGAGAGAGACAGAGAGAGGGAGAGAGAGAGAGAGAGAGACGGAGCTTTGAAGAAGAAATATTATCATTTTAGTCTTTTTAAAAATATTTGATGTACTTTTGATGTCGTTCTGTTTGTTGTATTGTTTTTCAATCTGTAGCACTTATTCATTATCAAAACAGCGTTGTAATATAGTTAATTACATTTATATCCCCCCTGGACTGCCACTCCCCCCTGGACTGCCACCTTAACGTGGTGGGGGAGTTTGAGTACTCGGGTGATCCTGGTAGCTATGCTGTCTGGGGCTTCATGCCCCTGGTAGGGTCTCCCATGGCAGACAGGTCTCAGGTGACGAGTCAGACGAAGAGCAGTCCGAAGCCAATCATGGACAGCACTAAAATGAGAGCGGTGACGTCGCCCGGCATGGCGCAGCCAGGGCTCCACCCTGGAGCCAGGCCTGGGGTCGGAGCTCGTAAGCGAGCGCCTGGTGGCCGGGCCTTAGCCCACGGGGCCCGGCTGGGCCCAGCCCGAAGGGATGACGTGGGCAGTCCCTGATGTGGACCCACCACTCACAGAGGGGTCCGTGGTGGTCAGGTGCAGAGAGGACAGGGCAGCAGATGAAGGTGGAGACCTCGGCGACTCAGTTCTCTTCCTCTATTGCCAATGCGGCGGCTCGTATAGCTGTGGTCGCAGGGTCTCTCTCACCCGGTGGTGGACACCGGCAGTAAGGGATGCCGTCAGGCTGAAGAAGGAGTCCTATCGAGCCATGATAGTTCGGGGGACTCCTGAGGCAGCTGTCCAGTGCCACGGCCCGGGCTGTTGCAGAGGCAAAAACACGGGACTGGGAGGAGTTCAGAGAGTCCATGGAGCCGGACTATCGGTCGGCCTCAAAGAGATTCTGGCAAACCGTCCGGCGCCTCAGGAGGGGGAAGCAGAGGATGCAGAGGCTGAGGATGTTGGGGCAGATACTTCCATCTCCCTGGCAGAGGTCACCAAGGTGGTTGGTAGCCTCCATGGTGGCAAGGCGCCGGGAGTGGATGAGATCCGTCCTGACTATCTAAAGTCTCTGTATGTTGTAGGACTGTCGTGGCTGACACGTCTCTGCAACATCGCGTGGCGATCGGGGGAGGTGCCAATGGAGTGGCAGACCCTCTCTACAAGAAGGGGGACCGGAGGGCGTGTTCCAATTATCGTGGGATCACACTCCTCAGCCTCCCCGGTAAGGTTTACTCCAAGGTACTGGAGAGGAGACTACGACCGATGGTCGGATCTCGGATCCAGGAGGAGCAGTGTGGTTTTCGTGCCGACTGCGGAACACTGGACCTCTCCGGGTGGGTGGGGAGGTCCTTCCTCAAGTGGAGGAGTTCAAGTATCTCGGGGTCTTGTTCACGAGTGAGGGAAGGATGGAGAGTGAGATTGACAGGTGGATCGGTACAGCGTGCGCAGTGATGCGCTCGCTGTATCGGATCGTTGTGGTGAAAAGGGAGCTGAGCCGAAAGGAGAGAGCAGACAGATACCAGAGAGAGAGGCCAGCGAGAGACCAGAGATTATGAGAGCAGAAAGAGACCAGAGAGAGACCAGAAAGAGTCCAGAGAGAGAGACCAGAAAGAGAGGGACCAGACAAAGACCAGAAAGAGTCCAGAGAGAGAGACCAGGGCCCAATCCCAATACCCACACTGCGCCCTACACTCCTCTACGAAGTGTGCATTTGTTTGAAGTGCACACAAGGGTTTGAGTGGCAGGTTACAAGCGTGCACAAAAGGCGGAATTGGGACAGTGCAGGTTACGTCATCGACTAGTGAGTCATTTTCAGACCTAAATTTTATAAAAATTAAAGGTAATTTTGTCTGACCCTGTGGGAAACAAAATGAGTTGCTCCACACACGTTAAAATACATGTATATTGGTTATTCGTAATTTGAGATAGCTGTATATTTTTTTTATTTAAATGTGGGTAACTAACTGTTATCTGGTCAGTTTTTATACATCCTAGATTTATTGTAGTAAGTGTAAAGGTAAAATTGAATGTTATATGAAAGCTTGCATTAAAAAGTTATTAAATTGTTGCATAGAATGTCCGGAATTCTTCAATTAGTCATTTATGCTTCTATCCAAGTAACATAGCAACATTTATTTACACACATACAGCATATATATTTCAAAACTTACACTTTAATGCATTTTCCCGACGTTTTGGTGTGTACCGCAAAGAAGTATGGGCAATATCCTTTGTCAGAGTGCGCATAGATGCAGGCTACGGTGAAGTGTGGATCAGGGGCGCAATGTGGGCGGGGCCTAAAACCTCCCTGGAGGATTGGGACACCCATACGCACTCGCACCCACCAGAAAGATACCAGAGAAAGAGACCAGAAAGAGAGGGACCAGAGAGAGACCAGAAAGAGACCAGAGAGAGAGAGACCAGCGAGCGAGAGACCAGAGATTATGAGAGTAGAAAGTGACCGGAAAGAGTCCAGAAAGAGTCCAGAAAGAGTCCAGAGAAAGAGACCAGAGAGAGAGACAAGAGAGAGACCAGAAAGAGAACAGAGGGAGACCAGAGATTATGAGAGTAGAAAGAGACCAGAGAGAGACCAGAAAGAGTCCAGAGAGAGAGACCAGAAAGAGAGGGACCAGAGAGAGACCAGAAAGAGACCAGAGAGAGAGAGAGACCAGCGAGCGAGAGACCAGAGATTATGAGACTAGAAAGAGACCGGAAAGAGTCCAGAAAGAGTCCAGAGAGAGACCAGAAAGAGACCAGAGAGAGAGAGAGACCAGCGAGCGAGAGACCAGAGATTATGAGACTAGAAAGAGACCGGAAAGAGTCCAGAAAGAGTCCAGAGAGAGAGACCAGAGAGAGAGACCAGAGAGAGACCAGAAAGAGAACAGAGTGAGACCAGAGAGAGACA